GGTTCAGGGGATCTCGTAGTCGAGCAGTCTCGACTAGAGCTTTCTTAATTGTTTTATATTTAATTAATTAATATCACTCAAGATGTCATGGCAAATACGTTTACACAGGTTAAAAAGTATTTCCAAGTTTGGACAAAACCAAAACAAGTTTCATAACCGAACAAATATTACGCTTCCCGAGTATAAATACAATTTATACAAATATATATCTAAAATACTCAATCTTTATATTCTATAGTTTAGGAGTTCGTTTTCATATGGACGGACTTTCGTTTCAGGACAGGACACACAAACAATTATAATATGTATTGTAACTAGTATTATAAAAGTACTTACATTAAGCTGTAGAATAATCTTGTTATAGGCCCAATGCCATCTTTGCTTGGCTGTAATTTCCGGTTTTCGTATGATTTGCATATGACCGCTGACAACTTCCTCCGTTTCGCCACGCAAGAGGACTTTCTTTTTCTTTTGCGATTTGATTCTAGTTGGCAACAAATCGCTTAGTTGATCCTCATTATCCACACTAAGATTATCATGATCATGATCAACTAGCGCTCGTTCGGGTGATCTATGCGTGGAGAGACCAAGATCTCCCTTCAAATCTATTGGACTGGATTCCTCCTCTTCGATAATAATACTATCCTGTTTCTTGATTTGCTGATGCTGATGCTCCAACTGGTCCATTGAGACGCTAACAGGAGCTATATTGGTGCCGCTCAAATGTTGTCTACGATTTTCGGTTACACCAACACTACCACTAGAGCTTTCATCTAGATAATTGCCACAGTCTTCATCACTTGGATATGTATCGGGTAGGTAGTCATCGTTTTGTCCATCGTCCACGTAATCTATTGAGTCTTGTTTATGGCTAAGCAGCATTTTATGAGAATTCTGATATGGATAATTATCTTGTTGGTCTTGTTGATGCTTCTGCTGTTGCTTTTCTTGTTGCTGTTGACTCTGTTGCTCAATATACTTATATTCATCCTCTTCATTAAAGAAATCCTCTCGATAGACATAACCTGAGCCAACGTGCTCATAATAATCGTTAGCAATTCTATTTGACGGTGTCGCCTGCTGGTGATCCATATAGTAATCGTTCTGCTCACTATCTATGCAATAACTCGGATTATCAGCACGTCCAATCAAATTGTCAATGAGATCATCGTCCGATTCATTAATTTCGTCATCATCAAATATCTCAGTTGGCTGTTGCTTTATCAAAATCAGCCCCGATTTACCATTGATGGCGGGCAGTTTTTTGCCGCTGGATCCTGCTGACGGCACCGTGGGTAAAACTTTGACTTTTCCTACCATGTCATCGCCTAGACTCTGATTCTGATTTTGACTCTGATTGCTGGAATGGTGCATAGAATATGCCTTATTATCATCATGGATTGGCATGTGTGCATTGCTATTTTCGTAATCATCGTCAGCTGTTGAGTAAGTCGAGTCGTGGCTAAGATGTAGTTCATTATAATTATCATTGTCCATGGCTGCCTGTTCAATATTGGATACATATGACATATTTAGAGCTGGGATTTGATTGGAAGACGACGTTGAAATTAGATCTGGTGCAACAACAGTTTTATTCTGTTCAACAACAGAAGTTGTGGGGATCTGCTGTACCGATGCCTTTTGCACCACAGCCGATGCAACAGAGGAAGCACCCTGATTGACAGCTTGTGTCGCGGATTGTACAGCTGCTGCGGCTTTACCAAAAATAGAACCGAACATTCCACCAGAAGCGCTTTTTGCATTCTGCTTAATAGGCGTTTCTGAAGGTTTTACTACTTGGGACTTAGGTGGTGTTTCGATTTCCATACCAATTTCACTTGAGCCCAATTCATGGCTCATCGTTACTTTATATGGGTCTGAGCTGCTTTGGATATTTTTTGCTGCTGGATATTCACTATAACTATAGTCGTTATTAGATAAATTGTCATTTCCGAGATAGTCAAAATCTAAATTTGTTTTCGAGCTGAGATAGTCAAAGGTAGGTGTGATGGGTGCACTGACGCCCGTGTTTGTATTCCTATTTATCTTATCTGGTAATTGATCGTAGTGCATGACATAATCATATCCATATGGTGCATTAGAAACTGCAGAGGTGGAGGTTGTCGTAGTTGTTGGGTCTTGTCTCACAAGTAAACTCCCAACATTTGGCACCAATTTAGACGCCAGTCCAAAGCCAAAACTCTTTTTACTATTGCTTACTGGATTCGGTTTAGTTGTGTCCATTGTTGAACTAACACCGATCAGCACGCCATCCAAGCCACCCTTAATACCCTTTGAAAGGCCACCCAGTACACTCGAGACCTTGGCTTTTGGTGGAGTTTGTGTGGGTTCATCTGTTTGTATTTGCGCGGGCTTATAATATCCGCTGCAAGGCTCGTTATATTCGCTTGTATTATTAGTTTCCTTTAAGTTCATGTAGGTATTAGAAGTCGTTAGATCAATTTTAGTGTCACTGCTACTTTGCTTGAGAGCTGGTGTTAATGTTGTGGCGTTTTCAATTTGAGCTATTGTAGCCGTCAATGCCGATAGATCTACATTAAAACTATCATAGAAGCTATCGTCAAAAGCTGATACGTTGCTTTCTAATGGCTCCTCATTATGATTTAATAAGGGCTCAGCACCAATCAACGTTTCCCTTGTATCTCCTTCAACTAATATTTTCGCTTGGGATTCATACAGCTGAGAATAGGAGCTATTTGTATCCAGCGTGGAGCTTAGCTCAGAATTCATTAGATTTATATTAGCTAAAGATGTGTTTACCGAATGGCTAGCTATGGTAGGCAGCCATCTAGAAGCTTCAATTTGATTTTCGTTAGTCTTATAGCTGTCTATGCCTGATTCTAATGGTTGCGACTCTGCTGTGGTTAAAGCTGTAGCTTGCTTCTTAGCAGTGAAATCGACTAGATTTGACGTCGTGTCTGTCAGTACAGGCTGTGCTTGAGTCACTGTTAAGCTGTGTATATCAGGAATTGGTGATAATTCTGGTATTTCCGGTAGTTCAAACTTTTTCATATAATCAACGTAGGAAAACGTAGACGAATCGACAATATTACACTCTAAACTAGTGCTAGTAATACCAGCCGCCAATAGACTAGACGGAATAACAGTTGTTGTGAGCACGTTACTCAAGTGGCTTACAGTTGTGACTGTATCGTGAGAAAGTTTTAAATCCGTATGATTACTATTATCCAATTCCTGATCGATGTTTGCAATGGGCTTACTTAATAAATAGGATACACTAGATGAAGATTCACTTAATGGCGTTTCAATGTAAATGGGACTGTTAGTTGTCCAAGTTGCAATTGAATTTGAATTAAGATTTGGATTGACACTTGGCATTTGAGTTTCCAATGAGCACAAAGGAAATGATTCTAATGAATTATTTCGAGCATCATATTCAATTCTAGTGCTAGTGGGAGTCATGGTCTCACTGTCCTTTGCATTTTCGATTTTATTTTCGTCTTCGATCTTTTTTTCTGGTGTAAATATAAGGGAGTCGAATTGATAAGGTTTCAAATATTCAGATATGTCAAATGATGATCTCTTATCTTCGTTTAAGCTTGTTTCTGTGGTTGTGAAAATTAAATTTTGATGGGGTTTCGCTGGTATTGACAAGGACTGCTCTAAAGATGATTCAATTGATGATAATATTTGAGATGAGGCGTTTATATTACACTCGACGAGACTAGTAAAGTTGCTTTGATGCAATGCAGGCGAATCGGGTAATGTTGAAGTTGCTGGTGACCATGTTCTAAATGTATCAAACGATTTAGACACAGCCCTTTGATATCTCTGGTCATTGAATTGATTGCTGCCATAATTCTTATTAACTGATGCTTCATCTACTTGCATCTTCTCTTGCCCCTGCTTCTCATCTAGTGGTTCTTGCTTCTCCTGTGCAAAACTATTGGAATTTTCAACATTGTCCATAAATTTTAATGGAGCACTGGTTAACATCGGGGTACATTTTTCTGGCGATGAACTAACAACTGTTGCTAAGTCTCGAATAGTAAATGGGCTGGAAATAGCTTTAATTTTAGACGTGGGTAACTTGGGCAACTGCTTTGTTCGATGAATTGGAGTTTCTAATGAATTATGTGTAAGGACTTCGGGAATTATTGATGACGATGATTTGTTCAGTACTGCAGGTGACGGTAGACGTTTTGGCAATTTTCTAGTTGAGGTCGTCGTCGTCATCGTCGTCGTTATCGTCGACGTCAACGTCGTCGTATTTGACCATCGCGCTGAAGCTAACGTAGTGGTATTGGAAAAGGCAACTGAGGAGTTTGTTGTGCTAGCCGAGGTTGATACAATGCTATCAATATTCCGATTGCATTTAAAATAGGTATTACTATCACTTCGTCTAGTCGTGTTGTAGTACTGCTGCTGCTGTATGGGTATCCTAGTCTCTCCAGATGCTATCACAGATGCTGTTGTCATTGCCAACATAAGTGAAATTCTGCGCTGTTGTTGCAGCTTAAGCTGTGTAGTATTGCTCAGCGGAGGTGTATCGCTATATGCCGACAAATTGTCCGAGTTGTACGCATAATCCGAATATTCACCATAATCGAGGGGCAGCATTGATGTATAGGGTCGCGATATTTGGCTACAGACATCATAGTTCTGACTGGTCCCGGTTGTTGCTGTTGTTGTTGTTGTTGTTGTTAATATACCGCCTAAACTGTTATTATCTTCAAATAATCGTTGTGAGGGATTGTCGCGTACTCTTGGATGTGGTTCTGGTAACATTCGCATTGGCGCTGCCGCTGGCAAACTAATAAAACTTCCTATTCTCTCGTCTGCATAAACCGTATGTTCGTTGAGAACATTTTGGGCATAGGTAATCGGTTGCGATAGCAAACGATATTTGGAATTATCGATAATAGGTGCAAGCGGCAAGCGGCAGCCAACGCGATTGCCTTTTTTCGAGTACGTACCTTCAATTGAGGAACCATCGTTTAGAGAGCCACTCATTAAATTGTAACCATTGTTGTAGTCAGAACCTTCCATACCTCCATAACTATTTCTCCAATACTCCCCTCCGACTGTTGCTATATTCGGGTTATTATCTTCAGCTATTATTGTAGCTGTTGTTGTACAAGGAGCATAGTTCTGATTAAAGCTACCAAAACCTTCTCCATCGGCTGGGTACTCCTCCTCCGCAGCCCCATACTCGTCGTCATAAGTAACATATGCCCCCGATTGCAGCTCATCATAATTATAGATGGTGCTATTATTAATTGGTCGGCTGTCAGCACTAGATAAGGCATCGTTTTTCTTATTACGATAGCATGCTTCATCCCAGGAATAATGCTGTAAAGAAGGATATACATATATATTCAGTATATAGGAGAGCTGTATTTGATGCGAGTCTCTTACCGTCATGTTTTATGTTTGAGGTGCACCCTTATTGAAACACTAAGGCCTAGACAGCCTAGCGCCGAGCATTATCCGAGAATTTCAGTTTCGCTTTAGTACCCTTTTTTTTAAATTTGAATTCAAGAAGAGCATATGGCATCTTATTGGCTACTCGACATCAGAAAACTTTCTGTAATTCAATTTATCAATGAAAACGTCAGAACTAGATAAGTTTTCAACAATTTTTTTTACTATATATGAATTATCACAAATATAATTGATTCTCGTATCAATTTCAATGCAAGCGATAAAAAATATATTATATAATCTAAATCCAACTCGATTTATTTCTTCCATGATAATGTTTGAAAAACTCACGGATCTTATATATGTACATATAACATAAAAGAGTCTATTGTCAACACTGTTTATTAGTGTATACTTAGAGAACAGCAGATTAAAAATATATAATCATAAATCGAAGTATATCACGTTAAATTGAAATATACTACATATTTTCTAGGATCAAATTGTTAAATTTAAACAGAACTCCTGCAGAGATGGTTAAATATAACGGACTTTGGACCTTACAAGTGACATATATATATATATATATATATATATATATAT